ACAGCGCGCACAAACACATGTCCAGATATAATTTTTTTCCTACAACAGTGCTAAAGCTCACAGAGAGCCATAAACCTGCATACTGAGTGTTTCTAAGCTGTGGGATGATGGTAGTTGTGATTATCTTGAAATAACTGTAATCTTCTGTCAAAGTTTGTGGTTTTTATGGGTGGTGATAAGTGTAGCTAATGGGATTGTTTAAGTAAAGCTATTATTTTGGAGGGGAACTTGCATGACCAGGGTTTTTCGTTAATAAGATGCTGATTTTTTTTGATGACGGATATCAGAAAGGGCTGATAGTGCAGGTGTTTGAAGTCATAAACCTCTAATTTTAAGTGTTTGCGTACAAAGTTACGTGAGTGATTATGACCATCTTTACTTGGCAGTGCTTCACAGTCTTAAGAGTGAGATCATAGTCCCTAGATTTCTTAATGAAGATTTCATCACGGTATGTAATTCTTTCAAAGCTGTGTAATATCTAAGTGCATTTTACCTAGAACTACATCTAATAATTAATTCAATGTCAACTGTATTGTCATTTTTAGCACATCGCATGGCAATGAATAAAAACCGAAACACGGTTCCTTCAGGAAACTACACTGACATTATATACAACAGACAGAAGGACTAAAGACAACAATAAATACAGACAATAGTATCATAATGTATAGAGTAAAAGAGAATTGACAATGATAAAGTGATAAGACTGTTAATTATTATTATTATTATTATTATTTATTTGCATTTTTTTTATTTCCTGACTCATGTTATTCTGCATACTGCTCAATTTTCTCCTCCAAAAAATATGCATTTTTGAAGGCTAATATAATATTATATATATATATATATATATATGTACCCTACTATATAGTTCAAAAGGTTGGGGTTGGTAAGACATTCTCACTAAGGCTGCGTTTATTTGATTAGAAATACAGTTAAAAACTGTACTATTGAAATATTATTACAATATTATTATTACAATATTATTATTATTATTTACAATATAATTTTTTTATTATATTTTTATAACGGTTTCCTGTTTTAATATATTTTAAAATGTAATTTATTCCTGTTGGAATTTATTATTGTTGGAAACAGTTGTTCTGCCTGATATTTTTGTGGAAACTGTGCTAATATTGTTTTTATGAATAAACCGTTCAAAAGAACAACGTATTTGAAATTGAAAACTTTTGTAATCTTAAAAATGTCTTGTGTCACCTTTGATCAGTTTGTTGGTGTCATTGCTGAATAAAAGTATAACTGACCCCAAACTTTTGAACAGCAGTGTATACGTATCATGTATGCTATGCTACACATTTTTATTCCATTACAGTTACTGTTCATATAAAAATATCAGCACTTACAATGTGGTAAATTTTAAGCCAAAACGTATCAAATGTAATACATGTTTCATTAATGTATTCTTGGACAAATTTCTGAACCCTTGCACTGTTGATCACCATCTGCACTTTTTCATAGAAATTCATTTTTCACTATTGTAAAGTTGTGGAATTGAAGAAGATCCTCCATGCACAGGGCACACACCCAACTAATCAACAGTGACATTTGTTGATAATTTGTGCTGTCAATTTTATTGATTAGATTCTGCAGTCCTAGTTTTAGTTCGTTTTGTGTGAATTTAATCACTGACCTGGAACGACAAAAGAAGTAGCTCCCTGATATGGGCTTTTTTTCAGTGACCGATGCAAAGCAGATACTGTTATCAACCAATAATGTAAAAATAACCAGGTAGCTGATACATTGATCAGTCACTGGTCAAAAGTACAGAAAGCAGCAAAGTCCAAAATTGTTGTGTGTTAGGTTTAAATAAACACAGAGGGTATTTCTGTAAGGTCATGCATTCCCTGGAAGATTTCAGTTCACAAGTTCTCAAGTAGTTTATTTTCTCTCCCAGGAGCTTCAGCTGAGAGGGAGAGCTGTGTATGATCATCCTGAAACTGAGCTGTGCTTTCATAGCAGGCCAGACACAATGACCCAGCTGAAGGTTTCACTGGGGAGGGTTACCTAAACCAGAGCAGAGAGCTTGAATCCAGCAGGAGTAATCCAGTATTAACACGGGATCAGATCAGATCAAACAGTTTATCGTGAGAATAACCCAGAATCATCTTAACCCTTTCACTTCGAAGTGTTTTTACACAACAATGAACTCACTGAACCTCAAATGGCCATCATAACCCAAAATATTTCTTACATGTTTACTTGAGGGTTTTATAGTAACTGATGGGTGTCATGTGATAAGCCAACTGCTTACTCAGAGAGATTTTTGACCCACCCATAAGGAATTTTTGAACTCTCTGTTGGTGACAGCTGTGGTTTAGTACTTTGATCAAGGAAGCAGTTCCTTATAAAATCTTATATACCTAATAGAACTTGCATGTTAATGATTCTTGGCATATTAAAACGTGGCTAATTTATGAACAAAGCTTAATAGACTCCTGTCAGTGTTTGTTGTGGAAGTGTAGGATTATGGGTTGTTTTGTGAGTCTAGTGTTTCAAGGATCACAGCTGAGAGTCATGTTTAATTTTTTTCAGATGACACGTGTTTTTCAACCACATACAGACCACAGCACTTGAGCTTTGGCAGATGAAATATGAGTAACAATGTGCGTAAAGTAAACCTCCCTCTGTTTCCAAATTTTTTCACTGTGGATTCCACACACTCATGTAACGACATTCTCCTCACTGGCCTCTTTGTTTTAAGAGTTACTCTTAAATGCATCTGTACACCAGTGTGAAACTCTTAATTTAGGAGGCGATGCTCCTAAAATGTTCTTAGGATAAAGTGATGCAGGTATTTCAAGCCATGAGTCATTTTGCCAAGTCTGAGAGTGCTGAGATAGTGATTCATTGTCTGTCTGTCTGTCTGGACACTATAAGCCTGACTTAATGTCATTGCGCTCTGTATTTTGTCCCTCAGAAGGGAATATCATGCAGTTACGTCTCTATGGTGTCAAAAGTATTTACAGTCAACAGAAACTTCACATGCCCCCCAAACTGTAAATGTTTGAAGTCACGACCTGTGAACTGTTACGATTATTGTGATTTAAGACCATGCTGACTTAATTAGTCTTGACTCTTGGTTCTCAGACTAGGGATCTTGGAAAGACATGACGCAGAATAATTATACAGGGATTCCTTAAAGTGATACTTCAACCAAAAATGAAAATTATGTCGTCCTTTACTCTCCCTCATGTCGTTCCAAACCTGTACGGTCTTCTTTCTAGAGCAGAATGCAAAAGAAAATGACTACTGTAATTATTTTTTTTATTTTTTTATTTTTTTGTAAAAAGATATTAATACTTTTATTCAGCAAGGACACATTAAATTAATTGGTTAGAAAAAAATTCTTATTTGTATGTAGGCCTGGGTGATAAAACGACGTCGATATTTATCGACGGTACACCTTCTTCGATAACGATATAAAATGTTTTCGATATAGTGCATGATATAGGCACGTGCTATGAGTGACGCAGACAGCACACGCAAACACGAACATGAGTGCTGTGCCTGCCTGTGATGAGGAGATTGTGAATAAACAATGAATATTAATCGAATTTAAAATAAACATTTGCATTTGAATGCAAAAATAGTACAATCCAATGTTAGATGTGCGTCAGGGAGCGTCATCAGTGGAGCACGAGATGCGGTGATGATGATGTAAGTGGCATTGTAGTTTAATGTTTTGTTAGTCTAGCCCACGAGACGCGCAGTTGCTGCGTTATTCATTCAAAATATTAGAGAAATATAGTAGCTCAATGCCTTAATTTTGTTTTTGACTTGAAACAAAAAAATATTTGTTGTTTGTCTCAATAAATTGAGTTAATTTAAAAATACAGTGTACAAATACATTTTAACATATATTAAAATTGAGAACTGATATTTTAATTTGTAATAATATTTCACAATATTACTGTATTTACTGCAAATACATAAATGCAAAAAAATAAATGCAGCATTGGTGAACATAAGACACTTTTTTTCAAGAACTGTTTTCATAGACAGTTGAGGTCCAGTGTTGTTGCCACCCCAGCATGCTTCAAAATATATATTTTTTTGTGTTCTGCATAAGAAATATTCAGGGGCTGTCTACACTGGACGCATCAAAGCAAACGTTCCAAATCCATTGTCCTGTTGTCGAAAGTTCCACAAGCACTTGAAACATGTCAGAAGTATAATGGGGCATTGGTTTACTGCATAGTTGTCACGCCGCATCCAGTGTAGACAGCTTCACTGATTATAACGGGTTCTTTTGTTGCGTCACGCTGCTCGTGTCTGGTGTAGACATGGTTCAGTTTTAGAGAATTTAGATGGGTCTTTCCAATTCTGTAGAAATTTGTGGAGATTTATGTGGAGCCCTGCTAGTGCAGATTCTGTGTGGACCTGATAACGACGATTCTTTTGGAATTGAAAATCACTATTTTTTATTTAATTTTTTTTTACAATTAATTCAACAGGATTACCAGATTAATTGATTTTTGTTGGTGCAAAAGGGTGTCCTCAGTTGCCTCAATAGAATGTAGTCTAATGTTCTCAACCTGGATGATGACTTCATTTTATTCATGCTGTTTTAGACCCTTATTTCACTTACAAAAAGGTTCATTTGAATCTTCTGTAAATGCTTGGAATGACATGAGCCAAACTCCTATCCTTGAGATCTCCTGCACAGAAATTGTGTTTTAAACGAGAATAGCATTTTCTGTGGGCAGTGTGTGTGAACCTGCCAGTGATGTTTCAGACCCAAAGATCATATTCACAAGGTCCTACATATAAATCTGATGTACTGCTATGCAGTAAGAGCTTCACTGCTTTTTTTTCTCTTTCCCACAAACAACCTCAGGCCTTTGAGTTGTGAGAGAGTTTTCTACAAGTTCGTTTCCTCTTTTTCTGCTCGGTATATTACCTTGTTTTTTGAGTGTGTATGTATGTGTGTGTGTGTGTGTGTGTTTTCCTGAGTAACTTTTTCACACTTCATCCTTTAGTCACAGATGAAGACACTGTCAAGAGATACTATGCCAAGTTTGAGGAGAAGTTCTTCCAAACATGTGAGAAGGAGCTGGCCAAAATCAACACATTCTATTCAGGTAACTAAGTGTAAACATTAGACTTGTTTAAGGTAAAGCTCACAGTTTGTGTCTAGTACTTGTTTCCATTTTTTGTCTTTAGTATTTACATTAAAGCTCCTGAGCTAAAGCCAGGACTGGCATTAAAAACCAGGACTGCTGTTATTTTTTATATCCCAATAAATAACCACCTGCTTTTTCTTTCTCTCACTCACACTGTTCTCTTACCTTCATTTTGGCCCATGACCAATTTTTTATTGTCTAACCAATGGCTCAGAGATGATTAATATTCATAATCAATCATGTTAAGTTAATGTGAAATAGGACTTTGTGGGTTAGCATTATAAACACCCCACCACGGTGGTACAGCAAAACACATTTTTGCACACTTGAATGTTTTTTTTTTTTTTTTATGTGAATGTTTGGACAAGAGTGAAGTACAAAGCATTGTTTACAAAATAAAAAAATTAATTTGGTTAGCAGCCAAGTGTTACATTGTGACCTTGGAAACATTTGGATTCATGCCGAACGAGAGAGATGTATGAGCCCATAAATCTGAATTAAGTCATACACGGTTTTGTGTTCTGTTTTGTGGGTTGGTTTCTCAGATAGTTACAGAAGGCTTTGTAAAAAATAAAAAATAAATTCCCATTCAGTAAATGTCAGTTTACATAAGTGATTTGTTGAGAAATTAGACATTACTGGTCACACTGTGTGCAGGAGCTATTTTATAGAAATATTTTATCTCATGGGTTTCAGTCTTTATTGCTTGTCAAATTCAATATTATCACAGTTTGTACTTGTTAGGTAATGCATATAAAGTTTTTTTTTTTTTTTTTTATATGAAGCCCTGGACATGACATTTACATTCAGACCAGGAATATGCATTCCATCCTTCCAGCTGCATTACATACTGATGATGTTTCCATTCTTTTATGACACAGAGAAGCTTGCGGAAGCACAGCGGCGATTTGCCACTCTGCAGAATGAGCTGCAGTCGTCTCTGGACGCACAGCGGGAGAGCAGCCGAGCCACAGGTCTGCGCCGCCGTCGTACTGTCTTCCACCTGTCGCAGCAGGAGCGCTGCAAACATCGCAATATCAAAGACCTGCAGCTGGCCTTCAGCGAGTTCTACCTCAGCCTCATCCTGCTGCAGAACTACCAGGTTTGAAAGCATGCAAAACACTTTTAGCCTATGGTTTACAAGCCTTAGTTCTCAGTTCTGATTGGTTGCTCACATCTGATTTTTTTGATTGGCTGTTTTTTTTTTTTTTTAATGTGGCAGGTTGAACGTAGCCTTAAATGTTTTAAAAAATGTTTGAATATTGAAAATTGTGTCACGATGTTTGGTGGAATTGACTACATGGAATCCTCTGCACATGATAACTTAATTATTCCCTCGGTTGTTGCTTTTTCAGTAATTCCCATTTGATTACGATCCAGCTAGTGTCTAACTGTTTTTTATTCATTTCTGATTGGGCATTCTTTGAACTCAATCTCATTTAAAGAGTTAATGGTTTCTCCCTGTCAGAATCTAAACTTCACAGGCTTTCGGAAGATTTTAAAGAAACATGACAAGATCTTTGAGACGACACGAGGCGCTGATTGGCGTGTGGCCCATGTTGAAGTGGCTCCTTTTTACACCTGTAAGAAGATCACTCAGCTTATCTCTGAAACCGAGGTACCATTCACTCAAATGACTCATTCCACTTAAAGTATAAGGTTTTCAGAAAAACAATTTCTGCTTTAAAGAACAATTAAATTGTGACTGATCAAAATAGCACAGTGGTTAGTTATTCTGACAGCATGTTCTTAAATCTCCAGGGCCTTGTTACCACAGAGTTGGAAGGAGGAGACCGACAGAAAGCCATGAAGAGGCTCCGAGTGCCCCCATTGGGAGCAGCACAGGTAGAACACTCTGTGACTTTCACTAAAACACCTTTCATTAGTACCGTTAAAAGAACATGAACATCTCACCATCCTGTGCTCTTTATCTTAGCCTGCACCTGCATGGACCACTTTTAGAGTAGGACTCTACTGTGGTGTCTTCGTTGCTTTAACAGTCACAGTCATCATCACAGGTATATAACTTCTCGTATGCCTTTTAGAAAACAACTATTTTAATGAAAGTTTGCTTTTAGTTACTTTATAAGGTCTAATATTTCCCCCGTCTCTAAAGACATTTAACAACATTAATATAACTTTGTGATCAGAATCTTTTTCAAGGATTCAGTGGTTTGGTTATATTGACAATTATATGTTTTGCATCTGTAGGTGTTGTTAAACTTGTTAAAGGAGAGGAGAAGAATGTTTGGCCCCTGGTGAGAATTTATCGAGGTGGTTTCCTGCTCATCGAGTTCCTTTTTTTATTGGGAATCAACACGTATGGATGGAGGAAGGCTGGAGTGAACCATGTGTTAATATTCGAGCTCAACCCCCGCAACAACCTGTCCCACCAACATCTTTTTGAGGTAATTAGAAATCTGTTATTGAAGTTCTGACCAGTAAAATTAATGTTACTTTTTTATTTTAATTCCATAAAAAGCAAATTTTACAACTGTTTTGTGAAATTAAGATATATAAAGATTTGTGTTAATATAACAGTATAGCATCACAATGTTTATTAGGCATTAATTTGTACGACATTGGCAAGAGATGATTAAATATAATGCTGTTGTTTAATTTTTTGAGTCCTTTATTCCGTGTGACTTTTCGAATGTACAACATTTTTATGTGAAAAAAGAACAGTTGTATGTGCGCTTAAAATAATCACAGATTGCTCACATTTATTTTGACGGCTACTTCATACATTTAGAGATTTTTTTCAGTGCACAGCTCTTGTCAAATTTCCTGCCAGGCTAAAAACAATGTAAAATTAAAATAACCAGATTTATACATTTATTTCTCTGTTTATGTGCAGATTGCTGGTTTCCTTGGAGTTCTTTGGTGCGTTAGTATTCTGTCCTGCCTCTTCGCTAAGTACACAATGATACCTATACAAGTGAACCCTCTAGCTCTCTATGGATTCTTCTTCTTTTTCCTTATCAACCCTTTCAAAACATGCTACTATAAATCTCGCTTCTGGCTACTCAAATTACTGGTAAGAGCCAGGAGAATCCCATTTCATAACACAACAACATTTGTCACAGTTTTATGAGACATATTAATATTCCATGTGTAAGTTGTTGATTAAGTTGGTCATCTCCTCTTTTCTCCTGCATTATTGTCCACCTTTTTATGTACATAGTTTCGTGTGGTCACAGCGCCATTTCACAGAGTGGGGTTTGCAGATTTCTGGCTGGCTGACCAGCTCAACTCTCTAGTGGTGGTTCTGATGGACCTGGAGTACATGATCTGCTTCTACAGCATGGAGTTGAACTGGTCCAATTCTGAGGGGGAGCTGTGGATTAAAGAGGGTATCCAGATGAACATTAATGTCTTACCAGATTTATAAAGGTTTTTATTGGGCAGTTATTGATGGCACGTTGTTTGTTTTTTCTTTCAAATCAGGTGGAGGGATATGCCACTCATATTCATATGGAGTACGAGCTGTAATCCAGTGTTTGCCTGCCTGGTTCCGGTTTGTGCAGTGCCTGAGACGTTACCGGGACACAAAGCGTGCCTTCCCTCACCTGGCTAATGCTGGCAAATACTCCACTACTTTCTTTGTGGTCATCTTTTCTGCGCTCTATAAGACGCATGAAAGTAAGCACATGAGCTGTTACATTCTTTACCTGAACATCAGATGCTTTGGATACTGTTTGAAATTCTTTGTTTACCCAACATGACATTTTTTGTTTCCACTCAAAACAAGTCTGAAAGACATTTTTTGTCAGGTAGAATGTGGTTGATATGAAAGTAAAAGCGGACCACACACCGATCCTTGAGGAACACCATGCGGCTAAATGTAAAGTCCTGTGTTTTCTTATATCTGTAATGTTCTCTTATGTCACTCCCTCTCTTTTATCTTTAGCTCTTCCAGAAGGTCAGGTCTTCTTTTACCTGTTAATTGCCTTCAAGATCATTAATTCCTGCTACACCTTAATGTGGGACCTGAAGATGGATTGGGGACTTTTTGACCGTAACGCAGGGGAGAACACCCTCCTCAGAGAGGAGATTGTATATCCACAGAAAGTAAGAATACACACACTGTTGGTTTTCATGTTTTACCATTTAAATATTTTTAAAGAGAACAGTCCCCTTCACGGCATTTACACTGTTGACAGACTTGTCGTTGTGTTAATTTGTGTGCTTCCTTTGAACAGGCTTACTACTATTGTGCCATAATAGAAGACGTAATCTTGCGCTTTGCATGGACCATTCCACTTTCTCTTGGGATTGTGACTACTTTCCCAAACATTTCTGATATTTTGGCAACTGTCCTTGCACCACTGGAGGTGTTCAGGTGAGCATACCAGCATATATCATACACTCATTAACCATTTCTACCCACAACCTGTGGTTAGAAGAATATTTTCCCAAAAACTTATATGTTGAAAGTTTGCTCACACTCAAGCCATCCAAGATGTAGATGAGTTTGTTTCTTCATCAGAAATTTGGAGAAATTTAGCATTATATCACGTGCTCACCAGGTGATCCTCTAAAGTGAATGGGTGCCATCAGAATGAGAGCCCAAACAGCTGATAAAATGTCATATTTATCCACAAGTAATCCACACAACTCCAATCCATCAGTTAATATCTTCTGAAGGAAAAAGCTGCGTGTTTGTAATAAACAATCCATCAAGTTCTGATGAAGAAACAAACTACATCTACATCTTGGATGGCTTGAGTGTGAGCAAATGTTCAACATATTATCTTTTTTTTTGGGAAAACTATTCTTTTAACCACAGGATAAAAGATCCTCAATAGATCCTAAACATATGTACTGCAAATGACAGTGCTCATTATGAAATCTGAATAAGGATTTATGTTTTGTATGCACACATACCTTAACTTGCCTTGTACATTCACTGTTTATGTAATTGTTGTTTTAATGTTTTTATTCATGCAGTAGGCTTACTACAAATGTTTCAACAATGATTTCTCGTTAACAGCATGCATTTTGAAGCAGTTAATGATTTACAATGTTGGTTAAATTAATAATTATTTAAACATAACATTTTACTCCTATGGAAACAATGCTAGTAAAATGCCATAGAATTTGTGCAATCTTGAAGAGTCTGAAATAGATGTTGCTCAATCAGGAACATAAAAATACACGCATCATATCTTATTCATAGAAATAACGCTGACTACATATGGTATGGACTTAAAGACATGAACTTTATTTCCAAGATGATGCAGGGGAAGCTTTGAATTTCAATACAATATAGAGAAATATAGTAACAGAGGCTTGTATTGTAATATTTATTGTATATTCAAATCAATGTATGATACTAATACCAGATATATGTTCATGTTTAATCTTTCTGCATAATTATGTACATAAAGAAATATATTCCGGTTACCTGTGTCGGCAGTGCGCAGCAGACACACCCACCTTAATGATTGTGATTGACAATTGACATTGACATTGATAGTGATTGATACGCTTTAAATCGGATGATTTTAGGTCAAGTTTTGGCTGTCATTCAATGATGCTTTCTGCCGGTAGGGAATAGTAGATGGCCGCTCGAACACTTCCGGTGGCTTCACCGCAGAATGGCAGTTTAGAATGCAATGAGCAATCCAGTCATTATATAGATCAGTTCTCCATCCCCATTAATGTTTGAACCTTGAATTTTGAGATTTCATTTTGAAGCAATGAATGAGTAACGGTTGCAGATTTAGCCTAACTAAAGGTGTCCTGCAGTTTAGGACCAAATGTTGGTTTGTTGTTATTGATACAGTGAATGTGTGTTTCACATAACGGAGAGAAAAAAATTGTCTTCCTTAAAACAGCCATGAAAATGAGGTTGAATTATTGAGATAATCAATTTTGATTTGTTGATGTACATGAGGTAATGGTTTGTTTTTAAATTAAATCGAAACATTTAATAGTTCTCTCTCTAAAGAACATTTTAATAAAGGGATTTGTGCCTTTATTAAAAAGTAACAGGACATCAGGGACCCTGTTTGTGGAAAGTGCCTTGTAAACCTCAGAGCACCATCATACAGATGCTCTAATGGGTTCTCAAGGATTTCTTTTCTTTTTTTTTATTTTCAGGTCAAAGGTCCGAGACACCAAAGTCCTGATAGAGGACACCGATGACGACACCTGACCCTTGCGTCTACAGTGGCTTGAGAAATTGTTTTTTATAGGACCATAGACCTCAGTGAGCCTCGACTCTTCAGAAGCTATCCAATCAAGCCATCACAAAGCTGCCTGACTGCATACACACACATTTCACACCGAGACCTCACTGACTCTCACACGCAACAGGAGTGGCCACTTCAGTTACTGTACTGTTTTTGATTCCTTCGTTACTGCCTTGATCATTTTTGTGAAGATCCAAACAAAAAATGAATTCAGTGGACGGTGTACATAATACGTAGTTCTCAAACCGCTTGATGGGACCCGCGCTTATATAAATCAAGCAGCTGACTGTGGACACGTCATCGCAGCATGATCAATCAATCAGTTTGGATACTTTGTCTTTAAAGACTTTTACGATGAGGGTTTATTCATGTAGCAGACACATGGACTTTTACCCTCATTCATGAAAATGGCAATTTATACTTGTACTTTTTTTTTTTTATGTACATTGCATTGTTATTTATGTGAAGGAGAGATGCCTTGAGCGTTGCTTTAAAGGAAAACTTTTAAATATAGCAAGGATTTACTTTGAACCTTTACCCAGGACCTCTGCATGCTTTTGACCAACCCTCAGGTGGCTCTGAAGGAAAAAATACCAATTTGATTTATATTTATTAAATGCTTTGCCAATTGTTTAAAACACAAACCACCAACATAATTACCTGCTCTGAAATGCCAAATGGGAATTTCTGCCTATGTTTATTTTAAAACACTGTTCCGTCATGTGGCTTAAAGTCAATCCAGGTTGAAGAGGTGCTGCTCAGTAGACCCGGAAAGAGAAGAAAGCCCTTTGCTTTAAAAGTGTCAGGCTCATGTTAAGAGCAAGCCAAATATTAGAAGCATTCCTCAAGAACTTCTCCTGACCTGTTATCTTCCTACATACGATCATCCAGAAACCCTATTTTGTTGTTTCTTAAAGCTTGTTAAACACACAGATCTTACTCACCAATCACATTCCACTGAAGTAGCATTCCATATTTGTGATTTTCTGTTTAATGTTCAGTCAGTGTCTTCCAGAGTTTGACCATTTCTTAGACCACCTGAGGGTTTCAGAGGTTCCTGGGAGAAACGACACCTTCCTTTTCTTTTCAGCTGCATCTTTGGCTGATACACGAGCACACGAAGTTTCTTTGTGAGTCGTTTGTTGCATAAGTCATCACATTCAGTGTGATAAATTATGTAAGGATGGGTTTCTTAACGATTATACCCAGGGAGTTCTCATATGATGGTTTATAATCTATTCCAATCAAAGATGTGTATTTGTACCTCTGAAAGCCTAGCTGTCTGTGAACGAGATCGACGTAAGACAGGAGGTACCGCAGTCGCACATTCATGCAATACTCACATGACTCACCGGCTACACCTCACATACTATGTCATGTACTACTGTCCCAAGTAAATGCTTGGACCAAAAATAAAAAGAAGGTTTCTCTGTTGATGTTTTCTCATGCCATTTGTACTGGCATTAAGGGTTTAATATTTCTGAATCAGAAAAATAGACTAGATTGTCTCGTTCAGCTTTTGAGTGGAGATTTAAAAGCTCTTTGATTTCAACTGAAAGCTTTTAATGGTATAGTTCACCCAAAAAAGTAAGTTTTGTCATCATTTACTCGCCTTCATGTTGTTCCAAACCCTTAAAGGGGTCCTAATATGCTCTTTTACAAAGTCTTGATTTTGTTTTGGGGGTGTACTAGAACATGCTCTCATGCTTGGTGGTTCGAAAAACGCATTATTTTTCACGTAATTTACGTTATTAAAATACCTTTCTCCCCATCCTGGCACAAACGGCTCGATTAGTTCCGGCTTTGATCGCCCTTGAAAGTTGGCAGAGGCCCCCTAATGGGTTGAGAACCACTGGTTTAGATGGATCAAAAAGCTTATTATCCTTGCAACTTCCTCCTGAAATTAAAATATTAGCAACACTAGCAATGTCCTAGTTTTAGTTTTTTACTTTTCATAGAGAGGGTGTAAAATAGGGCGTGAAACCACAAAAAAAGTATGATAAATGTATTTTATTTTTTTTTTTTAAATGGTCCACTTAAGTGTCCGAAAATTCGGGACATACACTTTAAAACCTTGAATTTTGAGATTTCATTTTGAAGCAATGAATGAGTAACGGTTGCAGATTTAGCGATTTTTTAAAAAAACGAAATATCTCCCTTTGGAGTGGACTTTGAAATTTGGATCTTTTTTATGCCCAAACATACACACTACACACTGACTAAAATTAAAAAAGTGAAAAAGCATAATAGGACCCCTTTAAGACTTTCGTTTGTCTTCGTAACATAACGAACATGATGTTTTTAATGAAACTAGAGATTTCGGTCGCATGTTAGGCAGCCTTAAAAGGATAGTTAACCCAAAAATTAAAGTTCTGTCAGTTTCTGGTCCCCCTTGGCGTCCATAGTACAGAGGAAAAAAATAGTATCTAAGTCAGTGGGGAGCAGCAGCTGTTTGGTTACCTACATTCTTCAAAATATCATCTCAATTGTGTTCAGCAGAAGAAACTCGTAAAGGTTTGGAACAACTTGAGGGTGAGTAAATGACAGAATTTTCATTTTTGGGTGAACTATCCATATAACATATACTTATGTATATACATACCTGGTCCGTTTTAATTACATTTAAAGTACTTGAGTTGTAGTTACACTGTTAACTTTAACCCTAACTGTAACCTAACACTCTAACCTCTATAACCCTAACCCTACACTTAGTCCTAAACCTAACCATACCTCAAACTAACATGTAGTTTCCTAGTAAATCCATAGTCTTGTTGGTATTTACTGTTCATACTTAGTACTTAAGGTCACCTATTATAAACTGTGACCAAGATTTCCGTATCTACATTGAAGTCTGTTCCACCAAAATGTTGATGCTTCAAAAACTATAAAAGTAATCTATTCTTAATACAAGTCTCCTGAAGAGGCATGATCACTTTACATGATGAACAGTTTTCATTTTGGCTTTCTTTATATATAAACCTTGATCACATATGGGAAACAGAAGCTTAAACATGCTCAAACACGTGTGCTGTCACGTATCACACAAGCATGTTAGAGCGTCCGCAAGAACTGGTGAGGTTTGATCTTGGTCATTAATCCAAGATTTATATATAAAGGAGTTTGCTTATCCAGTCTACATGTTTTGAAGATTTGGAGAAGGTTTATGACCGTGTTCCCCGGGTCACTTGTGGGGGGCCGGGTTCACTAATGCGTGCTATCCGGTCTCTATAAAAGCGGTGTGAAAGCTGTGTTTGCATGTGAAGCGGAGGGAATTTTTGCCCAAAGGACATTATGTATATTATAAGTAATTAGTGTACTAAAATGTAATCATTACTATATCATCGTTGTCTTTTATAACGACTTAATAGCACCTCACCCATCTCTTGAGTTTTGAAAAGACATCAAATGACTATGAAACAACTCTACAAGGTGCCATTTGAGAGGAATAGTGAAAGAGTGAAGGAGCTGCGAGTACCAGTATGTCCAGGTAAAATATTGGTGTGCACTTGGTGAGTTTTACTGTACTTCTAAGATGCCTGTATTACTTTAAGTTTTAGAAACCCATAAGAAGAGAAAACATTTACTGAACTCTAGAATAAAAATTAACTTTATTTTGTTTCTGTGTTTCTTCGTAGAGAATCATGGAGTTAGAAGTACATGAAACAACCCACATTCTTGTTTTTGTGGACGAGGCCGGGTTCAATCTGTCCAAAGGCCGGAGACGTGGTTGCAATCTCATTGGACACCGAGCCACAACTGACACACCAGGCCAACGTGGGGCCAATATTACAATATGTGCTGCCATTTCAGAGAAGTGTGAGCACACCTATTCCACACATTGGGCCCTATAATACCCAACTTCTCCTGGCCTTCCTAAACACACTTTACAGAGACCTGATTCCAGAACAAGAAAGAGGTTTAGTTAGACCACATTTGCCTAATTATGTTGTTGTCTGGGATAATGTCAGCTTCCACCGAACCAACATTGTTAGGGACTGGTTTGCTGCACATGAAAGGATAACAGTGGAGTTCCTTCCACCATACTCTCCATTCCTAAATCCAATAGAAGAGTTTTTTTCAGCATGGAGGTGGAAAGTATATGATCATAGACCACAAGATCAGATGTCTCTGTTGGATGCCATGAATGCTGCATGTGAGGACATCACAGCTGATCATTGCAGGGGATGGGTGCGGCATTCAAGGAGATTTTTTTCCCCGGTGCATGGCAATGGAAAACATCAGATGTGATGTTGATGAAAATCTTTGGCCTGACCAACAAGAGCGACAGGATGTCCACCAAGAATAATTTTTGAAGTATTCAAAAGAAGTATTTGTGGTAACATAAGAAATATGAAATGTACAGTAATTGGACAAGCAAGATTTCACTTATATGTAATGCATTCGTACAAAAATAAATGTACTGCATAAATACAAATGTACTGCATAAATACAAATGTACTGCATAAATACAAATGTACTGCATAAATACAAATGTACTGCATAAATACAAATGTACTGCATAAATACAAATGTACTGCATAAATACAAATGTTCATATACTTTTTTTTTCTATGTACTATTGACTCTTCTCAACAAATATCAGATTTTTTATAAAACCTTCATTTCCATGGTTGACTGTCATGGTGAAAAAACAACTAAACATTTTGACCAGTGTGGCTCACACGATGACAAAAATACTTTATATTTTGGTGGCCTTGGCCAAATTACTGACACGATAACTAGGTTTTGAAGCATGAATGAAATGTTTTGGGTGAGTAACTACATTTTGCAGACATACAATAAAGTTCTGAAGTTCCAGCAAACAGCTGTGACATTTGCACTCACAGTTTAGAGAATGGTAAGATTGTTTCGAAAAATGTGCCAAAGCAATTGAGAAAAACTGTAAATCATTAAAAAAATCCCTTAAATGCTTCATATCACAGTCATAACAAATATTCATCAC